AATAATAAATAAGGTGCATTTGCATCTCTCACATTCTCCCTAACAAAATCTCTATTTTAATATAAGTCCGTTTAGTTCCATTAAGGTGATTGCTAGATATCGCCACACCAAAACACACTATTCGAAATCTCGTTCAAGAGAAGTTATTTCAAACACAATTCTTCGAAATTTAAAAGTTTGTTCGGATTATAAAAGTTGCGACATGCTCCTTAGCCAAAACAGCTACCCGCTACTTCTTTCCCCTGTTATAAAACCTAATCTAATCACCAAATTGGGAAAATATTTTTTTTCAAAATTTTATTCCTCTTGCACATATGAATAATTTGCTTGAAGTAGCGAAACAAAATATTTATTCGATGATCAATTCATTTTTCTCCAAAAAAAATCTCACTTTTTATAGTTGGATTTAAATTATTTACAAGTAGGCCAACTTTAGGATTTTATGAGTGCGGACCATTGGACTAAAAGACAAATAATTATGAAAATATATAAATAAATAAACAAACTATGTAAAGAGCCACTTAGGCTGCAGCCATGTAGAGATGGTTGTACCTCCGCCCAACTAATTTATCATAAAATGCTAAATACTAATTTTAAAGACAAATACATTGTGAATACATAAATGTTTTGCTGGAAACGAACACATGGTTTCGATCAAACATTTACAGCGAATTTAGCTTCAATGTTTCTGGAATGTCATTGGGCATAACTTAGGGCCAACTAAAAATCTAGACCAACAAATTTTAGCACAATTTACCCATCGAAAATAGTAAGGACACGAGGAGCAAGAACAGATTTTGAGAAGATGTGTTACATTTATTTTCAGCATACAATAATCCATGTTTGGAAGGAAAATTTTGATCTTCCCTAATTAAGGAATTCCAAACTATAATATTCTTATATGCATTGTCATCTTCTATTAGGATAGGATAGGATGCCATTAAAATTGGCGAATCCCATTTTCTACATTTGAAACGCACCTCAACCTAACAGAGGCATAATAGTCACTTGCCTTTATGATGATAATA